TACAGAAATCGCGCCGAGAACCATTCTTATGAAAATACGTCTGCGGTTCGTAGGCTATTTGGACGTACGTAACTCTTGATCTCCAAGAAAACGAAAACCCTAAACCTTTGTGGAATTTTGTCAAATCTAAGCGAAAAGGTACTAATCAAGAGAGTGACCTGGTTTTATTGAAAGTCATTGAAACAGGGGCACCCAACGTCAATTTTCGGAAAATATCTGTTCGGAAGACGATTTGAGATCTGGAATTTTCGTAACATTTGTTGTAAAGTTTCTTTCTTGCCTGCCTCACCTAGGATTTTCGAACATCTAAAAAATGGTATAATTGCCCTTTTTTAACGGATTTTTACTCTAAAAAGGTCACCTAGAATTTTCGGAAGCCTTTTTTCTGGCTGAAATTTTCGGAAAGTTAAGTTTTGATCACTATAATTTTCGGATCACTAGACTTTCAGCTAGAAAATTCGAATTTTAAGGGGATAAAAATATGCCAATGTCTACCGTTTAAATACTAAAATAGTTTAACAAACCATGCTTAAGTGGTTTTGAACTATATTCTCGTTGGGTACCCCTGATTGAAAGTCGATGGATCTGACAGTGACTTAAAATCAGTATATGCAGTTTTGTTCAGTTGTACACTTTCAATGATTTGTGACCAACCTCGTCCTCAGGGCTTTTCCCTTAAAAAATGGGTGGGGCGCCACCCAATTTTTAACCACCACCCGCCCCACCCAATTTTTAAGGGAAAGGCCCTGGGGACGAGGTTGATTTGTGCCAATTCTTCAGAAAGTCGGCACTTTTAAAATAGTCTTCCTGATCCTGGGCTGTAAGAAATAACATTTTAAGGTGAACGATAAAGGGAACGTTTTGTTACTCTATCTGCTGGATAGGCAAATTCAATTGCAAGTAACAGCCGTAGCCAGGTGACTTTTTCGGCGCGAAAATACCTTCGACTTTGCTGGAGGGAGGGGTGGGGTGGTTGACGTGGTTGTTTTAAGCACTTTTTGGAATACCCATATTTTTCGAGATTGGTAAAGGCCATTATTGGGATATTACAACCATTTTTATGTTTATCCTTTCATTACGATTTATTTATTTATTTTTTTAACCTCTTGAATTTTTATCCCGTTACTCGTTTTCTCGTTTACTCCATTACTGGTTACTCGTTATTGCATTACTCTGTTTAGTAACACCCCGTTCTTCCGCTTTTTCTAAGCCCCGCCTGTACAGTCGTACGTGGCAGCCATCTATCAGATCAACGAGCTAGCAAAAGAAAGGCTCCGCCATGCTGGCGCTGTTGGCATGAATTCCTACGGGTATCGTTCCTGCCACGCCAAAGTTTCCTGACCGAAGCATTTCACTGAGATTTGAAACAATTCAAGGTATTGTATGACGATGTAAAGCGTAACAGCTTTTATCTGGTTAAGAATTTAGTATCTGTATTTGAACAATATTCTTTAATTCAATTGAGCGTGAATTTTGGCTCCGGTGGTTCTGTTTCCCATGGATTTCCATTTCCTTTGCTGTGTTTTTCAATTGTTAGCCCAGCTTGAATCAGGACTAAATGGAAATTGGATTGAAATTTGTACTGAAGAACCAGCTGAATTACTTAAGAAATGGGAATGCATTAATAAGCGTCGCTAAGTTGTTTGGTTTCAATAGCGGTCGCCATTGATGTCTTTATCTTCTTGGTGGACAAGATCCGCGATCATGTTCAAGTACTCATTTTCACTCGCCATTTGAATAAATTACCAGCGAACTAATTGTCGACTAGAGATCGAAGACATCCAGTCCGTGCAAAGATTCCGAAAGCGAAGGGACCGGGACAGTGAATTGTACAGAAGTGCAATAGTAATCAGACACTACGCGTCTAGATCTCAACTGAGGTCACGCGATTTGTCGTCGGCTATTTCTCTTACTAGGTAAACAGTGGAACAACGTTAACACGGTCACCAGTGGGCCGATCGTGATATTTCTTCTTGATAACTTCATACAAATCTCGTGCATTGGGCGGAAATCAGGCTCAAAATTTCCCACACTGTTGATTTTTTAATATAAGCTAAGACTGTAAGGTAGTATGAGATTTTCATAATGACTAGCAATCCCTGCACTTATCATGGGCACCCGACGAGCATTTAGTTCAAAACCAGTTAACATAGCATTGTTGAACGTATTGTAGTCTTTAAACGGTCGATAAAGGTATATTTTTATCCCCTAAAAACTTTTCATCTGTTCGGATTTCCTAGCTGAAAGTCTAGTGATCCGAAAATTATAGGGATCAAAACTTACCTTTTTCGAAAATTTCAGCCAGGAAAAGGCTCCCGAAAATTCTAGGTGGCCTTTTTTAGGGCAAAAATCCGTTAAAAATGGGTAATTATACCATTTTGTAGATGTCCGAAAATGCTAGGAGAGGCAGGCAAGCAAGCAATTTTACAACAAATGTTCCGAAAATTCTAGATCTCAAATCGTCTTCCGAACAGATATTTTCCGAAAATTGCCGCTGGGTGCCCCTGACTTCTGAAGGAAGTGTTGGGGTATGAGGTACGTGGAGTAGAGGCCACTTTGCGTCTGTCCCTCAGAACAGAGTGGACCGTTATGCGAGAGATTCCGAAACTTTTGAAAACTCTGAAGTCATAGTTGGTTGGATGGCCATCAAACGGTCGGGAAATAAGACTGCGACGGAAATTAAGGTGACTCGACCCAGTTTTTTTGGGGGGGTACCATCCTACTTTGAAGCTCTCTGGTATCCCCACCTTTACTTTTATCGTAAGTCTAACACATAGAATGGATAACATATAGATTAATCTACAATATAACATAAAATTTTTGACGATCGGAGTAAATGTGACGTGGTTATAATGCCACGCCCCTTTGAGGTCTGAGTCGAAAATCTGCTGTTGCCGGCATTTTTTTGTGAAAATCTCTCGGCTACACATAGTGCGCATTAGTACCTTGCGCTGACCAGAGTTTCACCAAAATCGCGCAGACCCAATTCGAGAAATTCAGCGGTTTCCAAATTTAGGTCATAATTTATGCGAAAATGATAAGCAAACTTTACACGATTGTATCTAATAAACTATGAGACCGATCACTTTATTTTGGAGATCGTTATAACAGATGAGTTCTTGCAAGTCAGCAAAAAGCTTTAGGGCCTTGTAAATGCGCGCGATTTCGAGCAAAGCAAACATATAGAAATTATAGTTTTTGCTATTTATTGGCGTTTGTCAGCGTTGAAGAGTCCTTCTCACGAAAAAAGCATTTTCTTAAAAAATAGTAATTTTTTTCCTTCAAATTTTTTCAGGGCCACAATTGATTAACTAACTATCCGGACTGTGAATTTCATGGTCATTGAAAAACTATGACATTATCTTCTATAAGCCCAAACTTGAGTAAACATTGAAGATTTTTAGCGTTTTGGCTGAGTTTGTGCTTTGGGAGTTGTCTATTGTTTCTAGTCTGTCATTATACAGCATTCTCAGTTCAGCACGCGTGCAATGACCACGCTTGGCTGACTTGCGAATGCTCTTCGAGATATGATAATTTAGTATGAGAAAATAGAAGGGATTCCCGTCACGAGTTATTTTAATTATTGGCTTGCATTAAACCTATGAAAAAATGATATTTTTTTAATAGTAAGTAGATTTAGTGTGTAGCACTTCTTGATTTTTTTTGCAAAGGCACAAGAAGCACGAGAATTGATTGAAAATTGTGAGTTAAACCTCTACGTATCACACGATGGCCTATCTCACTGTACCAAAATTGGTCACGATGTTATTGGTCGTCTGTCAGTTAAGCCGTAATGTTATTGGCTATAAAGACTCGTGATCAGTAATTGGTGCGTTTCGATCCGTCTATTGTCACAGTTAAACAGTCGTCTATTGTTAGTCAAATTGTCAGTTCTCCAGTCGTTCTCTCGTAGTTAGTTTTGCTTGATCTCGTCAATAAGTCGTTTGTACGGCGCTGCTGTAATTGTTGGCTACGATTCAGTGGCGTTTGTTCTAAGTTAGTAAACCAGCTTTCCTGATTTTATACATGACGTAAATTCAGCTATGTGCTTGTGTAAGCATAATCCTATACAAGGAACCAACTTTACTACAACAATCTCCAACGTACACTACACGATACAAATGTCTTCAGTGTTGTTATTAAGGTATTTGTCTCATTCAAATCACTGAGACGGAACTGTCACCACATTAATCAGGAACGCTATAGACCCTCCTCCATATAAGCCTTGAGGGGGTAAGACGGAGTTGAAGGTGGAATCAAGAGTATTTTTCCCGGGGGGGAGGGTACTTGGGTAAATTTTTGTTAGGTATGTGCTGCTGGCCTGTCAGAGCCCCTACTCCACTATAGTCTATGCTGTGGCCTATTATAGACCCCATCTTAGTCACTTTCGGGCAAACATGTAATTTTCGCGATCCCAACTTAGTTACTTTCTATTTATGTATATCTATCTTTTCAATCCTTTAAACAGGTCATCCTAAAACTGGAATTGAACCATTTTTTAAATTGAATAAAGAACACTTAACGTTTCCCCTACAGCACATACATTCTGGTACGTTTGTTGTTTAAAAATAAAGAACTGTATTACCCAAAAAATTAGAAAATGTGCGACCCCATTCTGGTAACTTTATTGAAAATGTGACCTCTCATTACAGCCATCCAGTCGTGAAAATGCGACCCCATCCAGCGGCACATCCCCATCAGGCTCTTATAAGGAGGCACACCACCCCCCTCCCCGGGGGGAGGGGGCAATTTTTAGACTGGGAAAGCATGAATGTGGAAGTGAGATTTGAATGTTTGAGGCAAAATTGAGGCAAGAGGACAATGGGATCTGAAAGAGAGAGAGAAAGGGAAAAGTAAGATGTGTGCTACCCCCTCCCCCCTCTCACGCTTGGGACCCTACAATTATTGATTTTGTGGGTACAGCAATAAAAATGGAATAAATTTGTTTCTGTCTTTATATTAAAAAGCAAACAACAGCCCAGTGCAGCGGATGAAAGATTATGAAAAGGAGACAACTGTTTAGTGATACGAGAAACTGTAACCCACCCGAGATCGATGCTACAAAGCTACCTGCCCGGCGTCTGTTGAAAACAAGCGATCTGCCAGGACCAAAAGACGCGACGGTTTGGGAGGAAGTACTAAAAGAACTTCCAGTTGATATTTTGCTACTGACAGTGAAGGATTGTGAATTCTTAAGTTGTGTATCTCATCTAAATAAGGGATACATTCGGAGTAGTCGTGACAACCTTGGACCTGTGTACTTCGGGCTAATGGGTACGGGCCCAACTTTGAAAATCGCTGTGATGAAATGTTATCCAGGTCCTTTGGCTCCAGGAGGTCCCTTAACAACTGTGACAAATGGTGTTGAAGTGTTAAGACCCAAAGCGGTATTTTGTGTGGGATTCTGAGGCGGCTTAGGCGAAAAAGTCCGTTTAGGAGATGTGGCAATTTTAGCGAAGCTAAGAACATACTCTTCTGTGAAAGTAACGGACAGTGGAATTCAAGAGCGTGGCCTTGCTGTTCCGTTGGAGAGGAATCTTTTGAGCCTCATTAAAAACGCTGATGATGGCTGGAAGGCGCCACTAAGAGATTACGGGGAGGTGAAAGTATGGAAAGATGGCGTGTATTTGAGCGGTCCCGAGAGGGTGGAAAGTAAAGAAAGACGCGAGGAGCTCGTAAAACGATTCCCGGATGCAATCGCTATAGAAATGGAAGGGCAAGGTGAGAATGTGGCTTAATCTCGTCTGTGGAAAAACCCTTCCAAGTAATTGTTCTACAGGACTCTGCTATGCTCCTAATGAAATTTTTTGGGTCGTCTTTGGGTTCATCCCCTCATCCTGCCACTGGAACGGGTCGCTAGTTTTAATATGACTTGAAAGGTCCAAACTCTTTACTCTATTGACCTCCATTGCAGTCTTATTTACAAAGTCTTTTGCAGGTTTGTTCTCAGCCGCACACGACTTGAAGGTCGAATGGATTGTTATCAAAGGTGTCGCTAACCTTGCTGATGGCAGGGAACCTGAGTCTTGGAGACAATTTGCGAGCGTAATGGCAGCTTCATTGACCGCACACATTCTAAGTAATCCAATTGTTTTCAAAAACTGGCCTCATTATAAAGGTGAGTATGCAGTAGCCTAGTCCCCAGTCCAGTTCGCCCCATCCGAGTGAGCGGAGAGGGCTTAGAACCAAATTCTCCCGACAATGACTGGAAACGAAGCTCAGTATGCAGGTGTCACACTTCTGAAGGTTCGATGGCCGTGAGCAATAAAAGGGAGTTCCACATTTTACTTAGGATCTCACCATTTTTTCCACTGAAAATTTCTAAAGCAGGAATTGGGTAAACTTACTAGGAATTCGTATCTCGCATCAACCATCGCGAAACTCGTTTTCTTAGTAGCGCAACGTCGGGCGCGCAAAGAATCTTTATAGGTAAAATAGCTTGTAAGCTACGTAGCGATGGGGCCGAGTTAGTTTTCGTAAAGACTTCTGAGACTGTAACTAGGGACAAGAAAAAAATGGCCAATAGCGTCCCCAATAACGATTTCAGAAACACTTTCGGGACACATTTCGGCCCCATTTCCCTTCCCGTTTCTAAAGTGGCGGTTATAATCAACTGTGGCTTTTTTTTGGCGGGGGAGGGGGGTGTAAAAATAAATCAATAAACTGGCAATGCTGCTCTAAAAAATTCTAATGGAGTTTGTTTTTCGACATACCTGCTAAATGAAGGATGGACTTTTTTGCTTAATGAATCAGTAAAAGATAAAAGGCAGGAAAAAAACGGAGGCAATTTTGGTTAAAGGGTTTGGCAAAACAAAGCCTTACTTGTGACATAGGAAATAAAGTGAGCGAGAAAAAGCTCGCAGAGTGGAGACACTGATTACACTGTCAGTTTCAATTCCACTAATCTAACGATGCAAATTTTAATTTCAGGTGATTGAAGGCCTGCTTATGGAGATCATGAATAAAAAAATGAGGTAAGACGATTTTATCGCAATTCACTCAATTCAAACAAAACGCATTTTTTAATTCAAAGTTAAATATGTTAGTTCATCTGTAATTATTTACGTGGTTAGTATATTCATGGGGCAATTGGTTAACTCTAAAACGTTGCTAACTTCTGACAATTTGTACATCCTTACTTTTTTTTTTCAGGCACAGCTAGCCTAGCTGCGCATGCGCCCGGCTAAAAGCAGGAGTAGTCATCATTCTGGGTTGAACTAATGATAACGTTGGCACGTAGATTTGTCAACGGGCAGACATTCCTTTTATTAGCCATGTTGTTTTTCATTTATCTACAGCATGTATCAGACCTTTTGGAAAAAGCCGGAGCTGGTGTACAAGCAGCTGTCAACCGAAACTGGTGTTAATCCTTTAGACTGAAAATATCTTTGTTTCAATTTTTTTAACAAGTTAACTTCTGATTGAAAATAAAGTTTTAGATTTGAAAACGAAATCGTCTATTAATTTTGGGGTTTGTATGCTTTTACACGCGCCTCCAGGTCCATCGACTGCACATTGACGGAATGACACCATAGCCTGTGTACAGACTGGCCCCCTCCCCTCAGGAAAAATTGGAGAAGAAGCCCCTTCTCCCCCTTCTGCGATTTTGTCTCAGGGGATGGAGCGGCTGTACACAGGCTATGACGCTATTGAAAATTGAGGGAACTACTGGGAAAAGCTAGCTTGTCGTCATAAAAATAAAAAGGCAATAGTACCTCTAAATTTGTGCAAAATAATTGTTCTTGTCTTTCTCGTTTGAAAAAGAAGGGTTGTTGAAATAATGGAGCTACCTCTTTTAGGCCAAGTCCACACAAAACCAGACATTTTTGAAAACGCATATTTTCTTATCCGGACTCGTGTGTAAGGGCTCGTTTAACCCCTCTGGAGAGCAGTTTCAAGACAATGCGGGTTCGGTGAGCAGACGCACTGGTTTCGTGTGGACGGAAGGTCGATTCGTGTTTTAAAGTATGCGGTTCCAAAAATATCCGGATTCGTGTAAACGTAGCCTATAAAATTCAACCATTCACACTTTTTCTCGTCCTCAAATCAGACATTTTTTTACAGACAACCACTACCACAATTCTATCGTCTTCCCTCCTCCACCACCACCACCATTGACCACATTTCTATTGTCTTCCCTTCTCCTCCACCACCACCACTGACCACATTTCTATTGTCTCCCCTCCTCCTCCTCCACCACCACCACTGACCACATTTGTATTGTCTTCCCTCCTCCTCCTCCTTATCCTCCTTAGTGACAGGAGGGTAGGAGCTTGTAAGCGGTTTATGGATACTGCACGCCAAATGTCCCCCTTAAGAACATCATCCCCTCTCCTGCCGCTATTGAGTCTCATTACAGTATAAGGGTCCAACTTCCAAGACGTCAACATGGTCATACCAGAAGAATTAATGACTTTGTAACTTATAAATTTTAGTGAATGTATGTAAATGGTTAATTGTATGTGACAATGACCTTCCCCAACAATTCAGTTATTGCTGTAAGTGGATGAAATAAACAGAATATCTACCTATCTATCTATCTATCTATCTATCTATCTATCTCTACTGACCACATTTCTATCGTCTTTCCTCCCCCGCCTCCATCACCACCACTGACCACACTTCTATTGTCTTTCCTATACCACCACCACCACTACCATCAAATGTCTTTCCTCTACCACTAAAACCACATTTTTATCGTTTTCTCTTCACTATCACCACCACTACCACATTTCTGACCATTTCTATTGTCTTCTCTCCACCACCACCATAGCCACAATAATTCTATTGTCTCCCTTCACCACCAACACCACAACCACAACCACATTTCTGCCTTTCGCCCTCTACCCTTACCACTTCCACCACCACTGTTTTTCTATAATCGTCCCGCCATAATTACATCGTCTTCCCTCCACCACCACCACTACCAAAACATTTTTATTGTCTCCCTCCACAACCACCACTACTACATTGTTATTGTCTTACCTCCTTCACTACCACCACATTTCTTTTGTCTTTCGCCCTTCACCATTACCACTTCCACCACCACAATTACAGGGGATTTGACGTTCTGTTGCTCTTGCTAAATCTTCTTTTGCACACGTAATGAAACCAAGTCAAGGTTTTTTCAAGTAGTTTGTCTGAGTTGCCTCACATTCCCGTAAAACAAAACTGGCAAATGTTCTTCTCTTGCACGTCTTGCGTGAAAGTCATTTTATAAAGTTTTTCTACGTAATGCCTCTGGCTAGTTCGGAAAGAAATTTTTCAGATTTTAATTTATTACTTACGAGGGTTATCATTTTTTTAGTTAACTGCCTGAGCTGTTATACCTGTACAAGTGAGGATTCCTTGGAAAATTGTAATTTGAAGTCAACAAAAAAAGATTGCCCATCGGGAACACCGAATTGTGTCACTGGCACGTTAATATGTTCTGCAGGGGAAGTCACGAAAACTGTCTTCTACAAGAGATGTGGAACCAAAGGCGAGGACTGCGACCCGTCAGATTATCCCTCCTGTCCTTCGTCACAGGGAGGATGGTTATTCGGCACTTCAGGCAAATGTTGCACTGGTGACAACTGTAACTCTGGCCCACGTAATACGATCAACGGCGCACTTACAGGAATGTCTATTTTGCTGGCCTTCTTGGGGTTCTCCTACTTTTAAACACTTCATATCGTAATTAACCTTTCATAGGCTTTTTTTAGTTACTAAACTTCGAAAACCAACGATATATGTAACAAAATCAAGAAAAGCTATTTAGTTTAGCCGCCGGGATTAAGCAGCTAAAAATAAATAACACCCACCGGCAGAGGTTCCTATTTTTCTCAACATGCTAGATGACAGAACACTGACAGAAGTTAGAGCTAGTACATTAAAAGTATGAATGCAACTATTATACTTTAACAAATTCTACTGCTTACATAGTCAACAACGGCAATAAAAAGCGATTTTGACTTCATTGATGTGTTATAACTTTAGTCCTGTTGATCATCTTAAGTTAAATGCAATGAACTGCATTTACGTTCGGGTTTTTAACCCTTCTGAAGCCCCGAGATCTACATATAACAAATTCTCCAGACTGATCTCCATACATTTCTTGTAAGAATGGTTGAGAGAATTTGGTTTAAAATCAAAGTATTCTCCCTTTGGTAATCAATTTAGTAATTCTCATAACCTTTACTGTTGATGATCTGCTGATGTTGTTAGGAGAAAATTGATGTTGGTCACTCTTGGGACCTTAAGGGTTAATGGCCCTGTTAGGGTAAAATTCCGACAAGGGACATGGCCTTGAAACAACGACATAAGACTCGATGAAATGGCCACAAACGACATAAAGATGGGTCAAATAGCAACAGGGGCATGGCCTACTCCAACCTCGTCCCCAGGGCGCTTTTCTCTGGCTTCAAAGCCAAGGAAAAGCGCCCTGGGACGAGGTTGGGCCTACTCCTCAAAACGCGCGAAACGACCATATCAAAAATTCAGGGCAGGGACACACGTACCCCCCCCCCCCTCCTAAGAGGGTCCCAAATTTTACCGTCAACAGCCCGGCCATTTTCCCCAACTTTGTCATTACACTGAATTCGTTTTAAATACGGCTTGATCAGTTTAATCAGCACGAGCAGCTCTAAACGGTGCTTGCTGGCGGAAGTTCCACGAACGTACAATTGGAGGCGGGAAGGTGGATGTCATCCCCCTCTAAGGTTTTTCTGAGTCTTTTTCCTAGACAATAAACATTAGCACCTGAAGTTTTCAGTAGCTTTTCGTTTATCCCTCACGCGCATTTTGAAACACGTTTACTGATGACCAGTTATTATGGTTACAAGATATAACGTCATAAGTAGCAGGTGGTCTAACCATTTTTGAGTGAAAATGAATGTTTTTCAACTTGTTTCCTCGTTAAAAGTAAATCAAGCGTTTTTACCTGATTTCTAATTTTTGGTAAAATCCAAGATGGCGATCATGTTTGGTGAAGTCACTTTCCTCCAGCAGCGCCACCACCGATAAAATACACCTCATCTTGTAGGGACGATCAAAGGCTTTCCACTAAAGGTAAAATCTTTTCGATACATGCACCCAACTTATCAATAACTCTAGGGAGGGGTTTCATCAACACCAACGTCCCCCCCCCCCCTTTTGTGCCACGGTAGGGGTATGACTTTGTCTGCATTGAGTTTTGTCCTGTTTCACACTTTAAGTGACGTCTGGCTACAGTATCTCTTTGATTAGAGATGCGGCAAGAGGAAGCAGTCAGTTATATTTCCGCGTTGCGTGGACCTCTGCATTGAAACAGTTTTTCCAATATGTTTGTACGTCCGAGGGTTAAAATAAAATATTTTGAATAGACTGATACCCTCACGTAGCTTAATGGTAGATGGTCAGGATAAGTTCGATTCTTAAAACAATTTGTTTTCTTTTTCTTACTTTTTGTTGTCGTTATTGTTGTTTTGTTGTATTTTGTTCATTATAAGCCCTTTCCTCGCGAGGCTCTGCGACTTACCTATTTCTAGTAGTATTTCTAGTTTTTGTGCTAATATTTTTTGTGTTCAAATAATCGAGTTTTCCGACAATCTCCACATACATCTAAGGTGCTTTCTACGATAGACTGGTACTAAACTGTTGACTTCCGTGGGAAGCCGGAAGTCGATGACGTCAATAATTTTTATATGGCGTGATGGTCAAACGTACCGTCCGTGATCTAATAAGTCACCGTTAGCAAACAAGAGATATCACCCACCGCACCGACTCCACATTCAGTAGACGATCAATAAAGGTGCTATATGCATGTGTATGGACGCACCTGAAGTTGCAGTCTATATATCATAGCTATATCAATATAGCACGGATTGTTAAGTTTATCTGCCTCTGATAAGAGTTAACCGGTTCCAGGTGAGTGTTGTTTAATCACGTTCCTGTTTTGAATCAGTTTAAAACTAAAAACTCGGTATTATTGCGTCCGAATCATCTCTTCGGGCGAATATGGTCAAACAGATTTGTTTCTGATGTCGTGTTTATTTAATCGAGTAAATAAACCGTGGCCTTGGGTTAGTTATTACGCAAGTAACCGACGCTATGCACTAACGAAGACCTGAATCACTTAAATTTTAGACCTAGTGAGTAGGGCAAATAAGCCACCGTAATATGATTCGCTTCAACCCCTGTTCAAAAATCTTTAAGGAGAAAAAAGCTTACATCGCACTTCGCACGTTTACTATCAAAAGGAAGGCTGCGATAACATTCTTGGTGATGTTTTCGTAGATTACTTATTTCTACCACTCAAGCTTATTTACTATGCAGATTATGATGGCGTTATCCTTGAAGTTTTTATAAACAACGCAGTGTTTATAAAGCATTCCTGATTTTATACATGACGTAAATTCAGCGGAAAACGTTCGCTATATGCTTGTGTAAGCATAATCTTACACAAGAAGCAACTTTACTACAACAATCTCCAACGTACACTACACTTAACAATTATTCTTTGAAATCGAGGTGAATAGTGGCAAAATATTTACCGAGCCGCGAAAGCGGCGAGGTAAATATTCCCAAAGCCACTATTCACCGAGATTGAGAAGAATAATTGTTTTAGTATATACACACGAAGTGATCTCAACAAAATCAGAAAGGAAACCATTCAAAAGTAGGATTTGATTGACAGATCAAATCACGCGTAAGTTTAAAAATAGATCTTTGCAGAATTTTCAAACATGGCAATTCACAAGTTTACTCATTTCGCAAACAACAGCGTAATGGCTTCAATGGAATCGCTAAAAGTTTGAACTGTTTCCTTACCTGAGAAAAAAAGTAGAGCTGTGTTGTTTTCTGTTGACTCGCCAAGTTTATAGCCAAAAGGGCATGTTGTGTCGTTCTTCGCATGAAGTGCTGACAAAAATGGCGGCTCGGTTGCTCGAGGTAAGAGGTCGTCTTCCTGTATCATTCTTTTTCCTGTTTACTTGAAATGTAGAATTTCTGCAAACATTTCCTTTTAAATTTGTTTGTCATAAATAAACTTCGATTTTTGAGCCAAAATTTTCTTCTTAGAAAACGCTGAGTTCACGAAACGGCTTCTTCTACGCGAATACACGGGAGTTGTAAACAATCCATCGAGCACAAAACTCCTGCTACAGTAAATTGAAAAACGCCGTATTGAATCCTTCCAAGTCTTTTCTTGCCTTAAAAAAAGTCAGCCCTAGGATTTTGTCGACTTTTAAAAGATCGTTCTCTAAAAAAAACGGGAAAAACACCGAGCTCACACATTATCCACTCGCTAGGAGGTGAATATTGTTGAATAGTCCGAGATAGCGAACCAATCAGATTGCTTAAATCACCAAGATCACTGAGTGTGTATATACTAAAGATAATTTGTCTTCAATGTTGCCTCCGATATATTGAGATATTTGTCGAATTCAAATCACTGAGACGGAACTGTGACCACATTTCGTATTAATCAACAACGCTATAGACCCACCTCCATATAAGCCTTGAGGGGGTAAGAAGGAGTGGAAGTTGGAATCAACCTATTTTTCCCGAGGAGGAGGATACTTGGGTGAATTTTTGCTGGGTATCTGCCGCTGGGCTCCCAGAGCCCCTACCCTACTATAGTCTATGCTGTGGCCTGTTATAGACCCCATCTTAGTCACTTTTGGGCAAACATGTAATTTTTGTGATCCCAACTTAGTCACTTTCTATTTATGTATCTATCTTTTCAATCCTTTAAACAGGTCATCCTAAAACTGGAATTGACCCATTTTTTAAATAGAATGAAGAACACTTGCCTCTTCCCCTACAGCACAAACATTGTGGTACGTTTGTTGTTTAAAAATAAAGAACTGTATTACCCCAAAAATCAGAAAATGTGCGACCCCATTCTAGTAACTCTATTGAAAATGAGACCCCATTACAGTCAATCCAGTCGTGAAAATGCGACCCCATCCAGCGGCACATCCCCATTAGGCTCTTATAAGGAGGCACCCCATACCCCCCCCCCACCCCCATGAATGTGGAAGTGAGATTTGAATGTTTGAGGCAAAATTGAGGCAAGAAGACAATGGGATCTGAAAGGGAAAGAGAAAGGGAAAAGTAAGATGTGTGCTACCCCCTCCCCGTTCTCATGCTTGGGACCCTACAATTATTGATTTTGTGGGTACAGCAATAAAAATGGAATAAATTTGTTTCTGTCTTTATATTCCAAAGGCAAACAACAGCCTAGTGCAGCGGATGAAAGATTATGAAAAGGAGACGACTGTCTAGTGATACGGGAAACTTTAACCCACCCGAGATCGATGCTACAAAGCTGCCTGCCGAGCGTCTGTTGAAAACAAGCGATCTGCCAGGACCAAAAGACGCGAAGCTTTGGGAGGAAGTACTAAAAGAACTTCCAGTTGATATTTTGCTACTGACAGTGAAGGATTGTGAATTCTTAAGTTGCGTATCTCATCTAAATAAGGGATACATTCGGAGTAGTCATGACAACCTTGGACCTGTGTACTTCGGGCTAATGGGTACGGGCCCAACTTTGAAAATCGCTGTGATGAAATGTTATCCAGGTCCTTTGGCTCCAGGAGGTCCCTTAACAACTGTGACAAATGGTGTTGAAGTGTTAAGACCCAAAGCGGTATTTTGTGTGGGATTCTGCGGTGGCTTAGGCGAAAAAGTCCGTTTAGGAGATGTGGCAATTTTAGCGAAGCTAAGAACATACTCTTCTGTGAAAGTAACGGACAGTGGAATTCAAGAGCGTGGCCTTGCTGTTCCGTTGGAGAGGAATCTTTTGAGCCTCATTAAAAACGCTGATGATGGCTGGAAGGCGCCACTAAGAGATTGCGGGGAGGTGAAAGTATGGAAAGATGGCGTGTATTTGAGCGGTCCCGAGAAGGTGGAAAGTAAAGAAAGACGCGAGGAGCTCGTAAAACGATTCCCGGATGCAATCGCTATAGAAATGGAAGGGCAAGGTGAGAATGTGGCTTAATCTCGTCTGTGGAAAAACCCTTCCAAGTAATTGTTCCACAGGACTCTGCTATGCTCCTAATGAAATTTTTTGGGTCGTCTTTGGGTTCATCCCCTCATCCTGCCACTGGAACGGGTCGCTAGTTTTAATATGACTTGAAAGGTCCAAACTCTTTACTCTTTTGACCTCCATTGCAGTCTTATTTACAAAGTCTTTTGCAGGTCTGTTCTCAGCCGCACACGACTTGAAGGTCGAATGGATTGTTATCAAAGGTGTCGCTAACCTTGCTGATGGCAGGGAACCTGAGTCTTGGAGACAATTTGCGAGCGTAATGGCAGCTTCATTGACCGCACACATTCTAAGTAAATCAATTGTTTTCAAAAACTGGCCTCATTATAAAAGGTGAGTATGCAGTAGCCTAGTCCCCAGTCCAGTTCGCCCCATCCGAGTGAGCGGAGAGGGCTTAGAACCAAATTCTCCCGACAATGACTGGAAACGAAGCTCAGTATGCAGGTGTCACACTTCTGAAGGTTCGATGGCCGTGAGCAATAAAAGGGAGTTCCACATTTTACTTAGGATCTCACCATTTTTCCACTGAAAATTTTTAAAGCAGGAATTGGGTAAACTTACTAGGAATTCGTATCTCGCATCAACCATCGCGAAACTCGTTTTCTTAGTAGCGCAACGTCGGGCGCGCAAAGAATCTTTATAGGTAAAATAGCTTGTAAGCTACGTAGCGATGGGGCCGAGTTAGTTTTCGTAAAGACTTCTGAGACTGTAACTAGGGACAAGAAAAAAATGGCCAATAGCGTCCCCAGTAACGATTTCAGAAACAATTGCGGGACACATTTCGGCCCCATTTCCCTTCCCGTTTCTAAAGTGGCGGTTATAATCAACTGTGGCTTTTTTTTTTGGCGGGGGGGGTGTAAAAATAAATCAATAAACTGGCAATGCTGCTCTAAACAATTCTAATGGAGTTTGTTTTTCGACATACCTGCTAAATGAAGGATGGACTTTTTGCTTAATGAATCAGTAAAAGATAAAAGGCAGGAAAAAAAACAGGCAATTTTGGTTAAAGGGTTTGGCAAAACAAAGCCTTACTTGTGACATAGGAAATAAAGTGAGCGAGAAAAAGCTCGCAGAGTGGAGACACTGATTACACTGTCAGTTTCAATTCCACTAATCTAACGATGCAAATTTTAATTTCAGGTGATTGAAGGCCTGCTTATGGAGATCATGAATAAAAAAATGAGGTAAGACGATTTTATCGCAATTCACTCAATTCAAACAAAACGCATTTTTTAATTCAAAGTTAAATATGTTAGTGCATCTGTAATTATTTACGTGGTTAGTATATTCATGGGGCAATTGGTTAACTCTAAAACGTTGCTAACTTCTGACAATTTGTACATCCTTACTTTTTTTTTTCAGGCACAGCTAGCCTAGCTGCGCATGCGCCCGGCTAAAAGCAGGAGTAGTCATCATTCTGGGTTGAACTAATGGTAACGTTGGCACGTAGATTTGTCAACGGGCAGACATTCCTTTTATTAGCCATGTTGTTTTTCATTTATCTACAGCATGTATCAGACCTTTTGGAAAAAGCCGGAGTTGGTGTACAAGCAGCTGTCAACAGAAACTGGTGTTAATCCTTTAGACTGAAAATATCTTTGTTTCAATTTTTTTAACAAGTTAACTTCTGATTGAAAATAAAGTTTTAGATTTGAAAACGAAATCGTCTATTAATTTTGGGGTTTGTATGCTTTTAGACGCGCCTCCATATCCATCGACTGCACATTGACTGAATGACACCATAGCCTGTGTACAGACTGGCCCCCTCCCCTCAGGAAAAATTGGAGAAGAAGCCCCTTCTACCCCTTCTGCGATTTTGTCTCAGGGGATGGAGCGGCTGTACACAGGCTATGACGCTATTGAAAATTGAGGGAACTACTGGGAAAACCTAGCATGTCGTCATAAAAAATAAAAAGGCAATAGAACGTCTAAATTTGTGCAAAATAATTGTTCTTGTCTTTCTCGTTTGAAAATGAAGGGTTGTTGAAATGTTGGAGCAACCTCTTTTAGGCCACGTCCACACGAAAGCGGACATTTTTGAAACCGCATATTTTTTTATCCGGACTCGTGTGTAAGGGCTCGTTTAACCCCTCTGGAGAGCAGTTTCAAGACAATGCGGGTTCGGTGAGCAGACGCACTGGTTTCGAGTGGACGGAAGGTCGATTCGTGTTTTAAAGTACGCGGTTCCAAAAATATCCGGATTCGTGTAAACGTAGCCTATAAAATTCAACCATTCACACTTTTTCTCGTCCTCAAATCAGACATTTTTTTTACAGACAACCACTACCACAATTCTATCGTCTTCCCTCCTCCACCACCACCACCATTGACCACACTTCTATTGTCTTCCCTCCTCCTCCACCACCGCCACCACTGACCACATTTCTATGTCTTCGCTCCTCCTCCTCCACCACCACCACTGACCACATTTCTATTGTCTTCCCTCCTCCTCCACCACCACCACCACTGACCACATTTCTATTGTCTTCCCTCCTCCTCCACCACCACCACCACTGACCACATTTCTATTGTCTTCCCTCCTCCTCCACCACCACCACCACTGACCACATTTCTATTGTCTCCCCTCCTCCTCCTCCACCACTACCACTGACCACATTTCTATTGTCTTCCCTCCTCCTCCACCACCACCACCACTGACCACATTTCTATTGTCTTCCCCCTCCTCCTCCACCACCACCACTGACCACATTTCTATTGTCTTCCCTCCTCCTCCACCACCACCACCACTGACCACATTTCTATTGTCTTCCCTTCTCCTCCACCACCACCACCACTGACCACATTTCTATTGTCTTCCCTCCTCCTCCACCACCACCACCACTGACCACATTTCTATTGTCTTCCCTCCTCCTCCACCACCACCACTGACCACATTTCTATTGTCTTCCCTCCTCCTCCACCACCACCACTGACCACATTTCTATTGTCTTCCCTCCTCCTCCACCACCACCACCACTGACCACATTTCTATTGTCTTCCCTCCTCCTCCACCACCACCACCACTGACCACATTTCTATTGTCTTCCCTCCTCCTCCACCACCACCACTGACCACATTTCTATTGTCTTCCCTCCTCCTCCACCACCACAACCACTGACCACATTTCTATTGTCTTCCCTCCTCCTCCACCACCACCACCACTGACCACATTTCTATTGTCTTCCCTCCTCCTCCTCCACCACCACCACTGACCACATTTCTATTGTCTTCCCTCCTCCTCCACCACCACCACTGACCACATTTCTATTGTCTTCCCTTCTCCTCCACCACCACCACCACTGACCACATTTCTATTGTCTTCCCTTCTCCTCCACCACCACCACCACTGACCACATTTCTATTGTCTCCCCTGCTCCTCCTCCACCACCACCACTGACCACATTTCTATTGTCTCCCCTGCTCCTCCTCCACCACCACCACTGACCACATTTCTATTGTCTTCCCTCCTCCTCCTCCTCCTCCTTATCCTCCTTAGTGACAGGAGGGTAGGAGCTTGTAAGCGGTTTATGGATACTGCACCCCAAATGTCCCCCTTAAGAACATCATCCCCTCTCCTGCCGCTATTGAGTCTCATTACAGTATAAGGGTCCAACTTCCAAGACGTCAACATGGTCATACCAGAAGAATTAATGACTTTGTAACTTATAAATTTTAGTGAATGTATGTAAATGGTTAATTGTATGTGACAATGACCTTCCCCAACAATTCAGTTATTGCTGTAAGTGGATGAAATAAACAGAATATCTACCTATCTATCTATCTATCTATCTATCTATCTATCTATCTATCTCTACTGACCACATTTCTATTGTCTTTCCTCCCCCCCCTTCACCACCACCACTGACCACACTTCTATTGTCTTTCCTATACCACCACCACCACTACCATCAAATGTCTTTCCTCTACCACTAAAACCACATTTTTATCGTTTTCTCTTCACTATCACCACCACTACCACATTTCTGACCATTTCTATTGTCTTCTCTCCACCACCACCATAGCCACAATAATTCTATTGTCTCCCTTCACCACCAACACCACAACCACAACCACATTTCTGCCTTTCGCCCTCTACCCTTACCACTTCCACCACCACTGTTTTTCTATAATCGTCCCACCATAATTACATCGTCTTCCCTCCACCACCACCACTACCAAAACATTTTTATTGTCTCCCTCCACAACCACCACTACTACATTGTTATTGTCTTACCTCCTTCACTACCACCACATTTCTTTTGTCTTTCGCCCTTCACCATTACCACTTCCACCACCACAATTACAGGGGATTTGACGTTCTGTTGCTCTTGCTAAATCTTCTTTTTGCACACGTAATGAAACCAAGTCAAGGTTTTTTTCAAGTAGTTTGTCTGAGTTGCCTCACATTCCCGTAAAACAAAACTGGCAAATGTTCTTCTCTTGCACGTCTTGCGTGAAAGTCATTTTATAAAGTTTTTCTACGTAATGCCTCTGGCTAGTTCGGAAAGAAATTTTTCAGATTTTAATTTATTACTTACGAGGGTTATCATTTTTTTAGTTAACGGCCTGAGCTGTTATACCTGTACAAGTGAGGATTCCTTGGAAAATTGTAATTTGAAGTCAACAAAAAAAGATTGCCCATCGGGAACACCGAATTGTGTCACTGGCACGTTAATATGTTCTGCAGGGGAAGTCACGAAAACTGTCTTCTACAAGAGATGTGGAACCAAAGGCGAGGACTGCGACCCGTCAGATTATCCCTCCTGTCCTTCGTCACAGGGAGGATGGTTATTCGGCACTTCAGGCAAATGTTGCACTGGTGACAACTGTAACTCTGGCCCACGTAATACGATCAACGGCGCACTTACAGGAATGTCTATTTTGCTGGCCTTCTTGGGGTTCTCCTACTTTTAAACACTTCATATCGTAATTAACCTTTCATAGGCTTTTTTTAGTTACTAAACTTCGAAAACCAACGATATATGTAACAAAATCAAGAAAAGCTATTTAGTTTAGCCGCCGGGATTAAGTAGCTAAAAATAAATAACACCCACCGGCAGAGGTTCCTATTTTTCTCAACATGCTAGATGACAGAACACTGACAGACGTTAGAGCTAGTATATTAAAAGTATGAATGCAAATATTATACTTTAACAAATTCTACTGCTTACATAGTCAACAACGGCAATAAAAAGCGATTTTGACTTCATTGATGTGTTATAACTTTAGTCCTGTTGATCATCTTAAGTTAAATGCAATGAACTGCATTTACGTTCGGGTTTTTAACCCTTCTGAAGCCCCGAGATCCACATATAACAAATTCTCCAGACTGATCTCCATACATTTCTTGTAAGAACGGTTGAGAGAATTTGGTTTAAAATCAAAGTATTCTCCCTTTGGTAATCAATTTAGTAATTCTCATAACCTTTTCTCTTGTTGATCTGCTGATGTTGTTAGGAGAAAATTGATGTTGGTCACTCTCGGGACCTTAAGGGTTAAAGGCCCTGTTAGGGTAAAATTCCAACACGGGACATGGCCTTGAAACAGCGACATAAGACTAGATAAATTGGTGACAAACAACGTAAATATAGCAACAGGGGCATGGCCTACTCCAACCTCGTCCCCAGGGCGTTTTCCCCTGGCTTCAAAGCCAAGGAAAAGCGCCCTGGGGACGAGGTTGGGCCTACTCCTCAAAACGCCCGAAACGACCATATCTAAAATTCAGGGCGGGGACACACGTACCACCCCCCCCCCGCTCCTAAGAGGGTCTTGTTTTTTTAGCGTCAACAGCCCGGCCATTTTCCCCAAATTTGTCATTACATTGAATTCGTTTTAAATACGGCTTGATCAGTTTAATCAGCACGAGCAGCTCTAAACGGCGCTTGCTGGCGGAAGTTCCACGGACGTACAATTGGAGGGGGGAAGGTGGATGTCATCCCCCTCTAAGGTTTTTCTGAGTCTTTTTCCTAGACAATAAACATTAGTACCTGAAGTTTTCAGTAGCTTTACGTTTATCCCTCACGCGCATTTTGAAACACGTTTACTGATGACCAGTTATTATGGTTACAAGATATAACGTCATAAGTAGCAGGTGGTCTAGCCATTAGGGAGTAAGATACGGCGACTACGGACTGCGGCTACGGATAAACACGCTACAGCGCATGATCAAAACCACGTGACTGTTCCTTTTTCCGGCGTAACCCTGCGGTTACGGCGAGTTGTTGAGCTGTTTCGCGTAGTCGGGACTACGGAGAACATTTTGCTCGTATTTTGCCGCCTCGGTAATTCAAGAATCTCGTCTTTTCGTAAAAAGTTTTCAATTCACCTGCTTTTAAGTGAGAGGAAGCGAAATATGTAAGTCGTGTCTATTTTTTTCTCACATTTACGCTTTTAATCCACTGTTGTGACCACATTTTTATCTAGCTAAGCTCATATTTAAATAAGCTTCAGATTGACGGCCGAGGAGAAGAGAAATCATGCAGGTAATTTACTTTCTCTTCGCACTTGAAAAGTTTCAATGTTTGTTCCAACTGATTAGTGTGTCTTTCTATTTGTGTAACCTTTGTTTATGCGATTTTTTGTATCGCATTTGCTGAATGAAAAAATGATGTAAACATCTTTGAGACAATCGAAACTCGGCATCTCAATACTTCAAACTACATCAAATCAGTAGTCGGAGAAATCCACCTTCTAAATCTAATAAATGAGCTATTACTATTTCTGTCTATTTCTTTAATATTTGACATAAATATTCATGGGCGAAAAAAATTAAACCTGTGTAACCAAAACTTTGTTAACCAATTTCATCCGAAGTAATTACGTGTAATTGCTTCCTTCAAGTATGGAAGAATTTATTCATTGTTCTAAAGATAAGATCACCTGCAAAAGTGACTTGCATTTTTGTGAACTGTGATGAAAACAAGAAAATCTTTGCGTGTTGTTTCCCTCTCCGCTTCTTCTCTCGTCGTCTACTATCTGTAGTGCAATCTTAACGTTCTATATTTGCACAACTCAACCCAGTGCTACAAACGAAGGACAACGCTCGTCCAGCCGTAGTTCGTAGTCCGCAGTCTCCGTATCTTAAACTCCCTATTTTTGAGTGAAAATGAATGTTTTTCAACTTGTTTCCACGTTAAAAGTAAATCTTGTTGGTAAAATGAAGCGAATTATTTATCTGTTATTCTACACGTCAAGCACCAAAAAAATGACCAATTCTCGGCGTTTTTACCTGATTTCTAATTTTTGGTAAAATCCAAGATGGCGATCATGTTTGGTGAAGTCACTTTCCTCCAGCAGCGCCACCACCGATAAAATACACCTCATCTTGTAGGGACGATCAAAGGCTTTCCACTAAAGGTAAAATCGTTTCGATACACCCAACTTATCAATAACTCTAGGGAGGGGTTTCATCAACACCAACCTCCCCCCCCCCTTTTGTACCACGGTGGGGGTATGACTTTGTCTGCATTGAGTTTTGTCCTATTTCACACTTTAAGTGACGTCTGGCTACAGCATCTCTTTGATTAGAGATGCGGCAAGAGGAAGCAGTCCGTTATATTTCCGCGTTGCGTGGACCTCTGCATTGAAACAGTTTTTCCAATATGTTTGTACGTCCGAGGGTTAAAATAAAGTATTTTGAATAGACTGATATCCTCACGTAGCTTAATGGTAGATGGTCAGGATAAGTTCGATTCTTAAAACAATTTGTTTTCTTTTTCTTACTTTTTGTTGTCGTTATTGTTGTTTTGTTGTATTTTGTTCATTATAAGCCCTTTCCTGGCGAGGCTTTGCGATTTACCTATTTCTAGTAGTATTTCTAGTTTTTGTGCTAATATTTTTTGTGTTCAAATAATCGAGTTTTCCGACAATCTCCACATACATCTAAGGTGCTTTCTACGATAGACTGGTACTAAACTGTTGACTTCCGTGGGAAGCCGGAAGTCGATGACGTCAATAATTTTTATATGGCGTGATGGTCAAACGTACCGTCCGTGATCTAATAAGTCACCGTTAGCAAACAAGAGATATCACCCACCGCACCGACTCCACATTCAGTAGACGATCAATAAAGGTGCTATATGTATGTGTATGGACGCACCTGAAGTTGCAGTCTATATATCATAGCTATATCAATATAGCACGAATTGTTAAGTTTATCTGCCTCTGATAAGAGTTAACCGGTTCCAGGTGAGTGTTGTTTAATCACGTTCCTGTTTTGAATCAGTTTAAAACTAAAAACTCGGTATTATTGCGTCCGAATCATCTCTTCGGGCGAATATGGTCAAACAGATTTGTTTCTGATGTCGTGTTTATTTAATCGAGTAAATAAACCGTGGCCTTGGGTTAGTTATTACGCAAGTAACCGACGCTATGCACTAACGAAGACCAGAACCACTTAAATTTTAGACCTAGTGAGTAGGGCAAATAAGCCACCGTAATATGATTCGCTTCAACCCCTGTTCAAAAATCTTTAAGGAGAAAAAAAGCTTACATCGCACTTCGCACGTTTACTATCAAATGGAAGGCTGCGATAACATTCTTGGTGATGTTTTCGTAGACTACTTATTTCTACCACTCAGGCTTATTTACTATATATGCAGATTATGATGGCGTTATCCTTGAAGTTTTTATAAACAACGCAGTGTTTATAAAGCATTCCTGATTTAATACATGACGTAAATTCAGCGGAAAACGTTCGCTATATGCTTGTGTAAGCATAATCTTATACAAGAAGCAACTTTACTACAACAATCTCCAACGTACACTACACAGTTAATTTGTCTTCAATGTTGCCTCCGATATATTGAGGTATTTGTCGAATTCAAATCACTGAGACGGAACTGTGACCACATTTCGTATTAATCAACAACGCTATAGACCCACCTCCATATAAGCCTTGAGGGGGTAAGAAGGAGTGGAAGTTGGAATCAACCTATTTTTCCCGAGGAGGAGGATACTTGGGTGAATTTTTGCTGGGTATCTGCCGCTGGGCTCCCAGAGCCCCTACCCTACTATAGTCTATGCTGTGGCCTGTTATAGACCCCATCTTAGTCACTTTTGGGCAAACATGTAATTTTTGTGATCCCAACTTAGTCACTTTCTATTTATGTATCTATCTTTTCAATCCTTTAAACAGGTCATCCTAAAACTGGAATTGACCCATTTTTTTAAATAGAATGAAGAACACTTGCCTCTTCCCCTACAGCACAAACATTGTGGTACGTTTGTTGTTTAAAAATAAAGAACTGTATTACCCCAAAAATCAGAAAATGTGCGACCCCATTCTAGTAACTCTATTGAAAATGAGACCCCATTACAGTCAATCCAGTCGTGAAAATGCGACCCCATCCAGCGGCACATCCCCATTAGGCTCTTATAAGGAGGCACCCCATACCCACCCCCCACCCCCATGAATGTGAAAGTGTGATTTGAATGTTTGAGGCAAAATTGAGGCAAGAAGACAATGGGATCTGAAAGGGGAAAGAGAAAGGAAAAGTAAGATGTGTGCTACCCCTCCCCGTTCTCATGCTTGGGACCCTACAATTATTGATTTTGTGGGTACAGCAATAAAAATCGAATATTTTTGTTTCTCTTTTAATATTCCAAAGGTAAACAACAGTGAGCCCAGTGCAGCGGATGAAAGATTATGAAAAGAAGACGACTTTTTAGTGATACAGAAAACCGTGACCCACCCGACATCGATCTCACTAAACTGCCTGTTCAGGGTCTGTTGAAAACAAGGGATCTGCCAGGACCACAAGACGCGAAGCCTTGGAAGGAAGTACTAATTGTACTTCCAGTCGATATTTTGCTTCTGACAGTGAGGGATTGTCAATTCTTAAGTTGCGTTTCTCATCTTAATGAGGGATACTTTCGGAGTAGTCATGACAAGCTTGGAACGGTGTACTTCGGGCGGGTGGGTACGAGCCCAACATTGAAAATCGCTGTCATGAAATGTTATTCAGGCCCTTTGGCTCCAGGAGGTCCCTTAATAACTGTAACAGTAAAGAGTTAAGACCCAAAGCTGTCTTTTGTGTGGGATTCTGCGGTGGCTTAGACCAAAAAGTCAGTTTAGGAGATGTGGAAATTTTAGCGAAGCTAAGAACGTACTCTTCTGTGAAAGTAACGGACAGTGGAATTCAAGAGCGTGGCCTTGCTGTTCCGTTAGAAAGGAATCTTTTGAGCCTCATTAACCACGCTGATAATGGCTGGAAGGCGCCACTAAGAGATTGCGGGGAGGTGAAAGTATGGAAAGATGGCGTGTATTTGAGCGGTCCCGAGAAGGTGGAAAGTAAAGAAAGACGCGAGGAGCTCGTAAAACGATTCCCGGATGCAATCGCTATAGAAATGGAAGGGCAAGGTGAGAATGTGGCTTAATCTCGTCTGTGGAAAAACCCTTCCAGGTAATTGTTCCACAGGACTCTGCTATGCTCCTAATGAAATTTTTTGGGTCGTCTTTGGGTTCATCCCCTCATCCTGCCACTGGAACGGGTCGCTAGTTTTAATATGACTTGAAAGGTCCAAACTCTTTACTCTATTGACCTCCATTGCAGTCTTATTTACAAAGTCTTTTGCAGGTCTGTTCTCAGCCGCACACGACTTGAAGGTCGAATGGATTGTTATCAAAGGTGTCGCTAACCTTGCTGATGGCAGGGAACCTGAGTCTTGGAGACAATTTGCGAGCGTAATGGCAGCTTCATTGACCGCACACATTCTAAGTAATCCAATTGTTTTCAAAAACTGGCCTCATTATAAAGGTGAGTATGCAGTAGCCTAGTCCCCAGTCCAGTTCGCCCCATCCGAGTGAGCGGAGAGGGCTTAGAACCAAATTCTCCCGACAATGACTGGAAACGAAGCTCAGTATGCAGGTGTCACACTTCTGAAGGTTCGATGGCCGTGAGCAATAAAAGGGAGTTCCACATTTTACTTAGGATCTCACCATTTTTTCCACTGAAAATTTTTAAAGCAGGAATTGGGTAAACTTACTAGGAATTCGTATCTCGCATCAACCATCGCGAAACTCGTTTTCTTAGTAGCGCAACGTCGGGCGCGCAAAGAATCTTTATAGGTAAAATAGCTTGTAAGCTACGTAGCGATGGGGCCGAGTTAGTTTTCGTAAAGACTTCTGAGACTGTAACTAGGGACAAGAAAAAAATGGCCAATAGCGTCCCCAGTAACGATTTCAGAAACAATTGCGGGACACATTTCGGCCCCATTTCCCTTCCCGTTTCTAAAGTGGCGGTTATAATCAACTGTATTTTTTTTTTTTGGCGGGGGGGGTGTAAAAATAAATCAATAAACTGGCAATGCTGCTCTAAACAATTCTAATGGAGTTTGTTTTTCGACATACCTGCTAAATGAAGGATGGACTTTTTTGCTTAATGAATCAGTAAAAGATAAAAGGCAGGAAAAAAACGGAGGCAATTTTGGTTAAAGGGTTTGGCAAAACAAAGCCTTACTTGTGACATAGGAAATAAAGTGAGCGAGAAAAAGCTCGCAGAGTGGAGACACTGATTACACTGTCAGTTTCAATTCCACTAATCTAACGATGCAAATTTTAATTTCAGGTGATTGAAGGCCTGCTTATGGAGATCATGAATAAAAAAATGAGGTAAGACGATTTTATCGCAATTCACTCAATTCAAACAAAACGCATTTTTTAATTCAAAGTTAAATATGTTAGTGCATCTGTAATTATTTACGTGGTTAGTATATTCATGGGGCAATTGGTTAACTCTAAAACGTTGCTAACTTCTGACAATTTGTACATCCTTACTTTTTTTTTTCAGGCACAGCTAGCCTAGCTGCGCATGCGCCCGGCTAAAAGCAGGAGTAGTCATCATTCTGGGTTGAACTAATGGTAACGTTGGCACGTAGATTTGTCAACGGGCAGACATTCCTTTTATTAGCCATGTTGTTTTTCATTTATCTACAGCATGTATCAGACCTTTTGGAAAAAGCCGGAGTTGGTGTACAAGCAGCTGTCAACAGAAACTGGTGTTAATCCTTTAGACTGAAAATATCTTTGTTTCAATTTTTTTAACAAGTTAACTTCTGATTGAAAATAAAGTTTTAGATTTGAAAACGAAATCGTCTATTAATTTTGGGGTTTGTATGCTTTTAGACGCGCCTCCATATCCATCGACTGCACATTGACTGAATGACACCATAGCCTGTGTACAGACTGGCCCCCTTCCCTCAGGAAAAATTGGAGAAGAAGCCCCTTCTACCCCTTCTGCGATTTTGTCTCAGGGGATGGAGCGGCTGTACACAGGCTATGACGCTATTGAAAATTGAGGGAACTACTGGGAAAACCTAGCATGTCGTCATAAAAAATAAAAAGGCAATAGAACGTCTAAATTTGTGCAAAATAATTGTTCTTGTCTTTCTCGTTTGAAAATGAAGGGTTGTTGAAATGTTGGAGCAACCTCTTTTAGGCCACGTCCACACGAAAGCGGACATTTTTGAAACCGCATATTTTTTTATCCGGACTCGTGTGTAAGGGCTCGTTTAACCCCTCTGGAGAGCAGTTTCAAGACAATGCGGGTTCGGTGAGCAGACGCACTGGTTTCGAGTGGACGGAAGGTCGATTCGTGTTTTAAAGTACGCGGTTCCAAAAATATCCGGATTCGTGTAAACGTAGCCTATAAAATTCAACCATTCACACTTTTTCTCGTCCTCAAATCAGACATTTTTTTTTACAGACAACCACTACCACAATTCTATCGTCTTCCCTCCTCCACCACCACCACCATTGACCACACTTCTATTGTCTTCCCTCCTCCTCCACCACCGCCACCACTGACCACATTTCTATGTCTTCGCTCCTCCTCCTCCACCACCACCACTGACCACATTTCTATTGTCTTCCTCCTCCTCCACCACCACCACCACTGACCACATTTCTATTGTCTTCCCTCCTCCTCCACCACCACCACCACTGACCACATTTCTATTGTCTTCCCTCCTCCTCCACCACCACCACTGACCACATTTCTATTGTCTTCCCTCCTCCTCCACCACCACCACCACTGACCACATTTCTATTGTCTTCCCTCCTCCTCCACCACCACCACCACTGACCACATTTCTATTGTCTTCCCTCCTCCTCCACCACCACCACCACTGACCACATTTCTATTGTCTTCCCTCCTCCTCCACCACCACCACTGACCACATTTCTATTGTCTTCCCTCCTCCTCCACCACCACCACCACTGACCACATTTCTATTGTCTTCCCTCCTCCTCCACCACCACCACCACTGACCACATTTCTATTGTCTTCCCTCCTCCTCCACCACCACCACTGACCACATTTCTATTGTCTTCCCTTCTCCTCCACCACCACCACCACTGACCACATTTCTATTGTCTTCCCTTCTCCTCCACCACCACCACCACTGACCACATTTCTATTGTCTCCCTGCTCCTCCTCCACCACCACCACTGACCACATTTCTATTGTCTCCCCTGCTCCTCCTCCACCACCACCACTGACCACATTTCTATTGTCTCCCCCTCCTCCTCCTCCTCCTCCTTATCCTCCTTAGTGACAGGAGGGTAGGAGCTTGTAAGCGGTTTATGGATACTGCACCCCAAATGTCCCCCTTAAGAACATCATCCCTCTCCTGCCGCTATTGACTCTCATTACAGTATAAGGGTCCAACTTCCAAGACGTAAACATGGTCATACCAGAAGAATTAATGACTTTGTAACTTATAAATTTTAGTGAATGTATGTAAATGGTTAATTGTATGTGACAATGACCTTCCCCAACAATTCAGTTATTGCTGTAAGTGGATGAAATAAACAGAATATCTACCTATCTATCTATCTATCTATCTATCTATCTATCTATCTATCTCTACTGACCACATTTCTATTGTCTTTCCTCCCCCCCCTTCACCACCACCACTGACCACACTTCTATTGTCTTTCCTATACCACCACCACCACTACCATCAAATGTCTCTCCTCTACCACTAAAACCACATTTTTATCGTTTTCTCTTCACTATCACCACCACTACCACATTTCTGACCATTTCTATTGTCTTCTATCCACCACCACCATAGCCACAATAATTCTATTGTCTCCCTTCACCACCAACACCACAACCACAACCACATTTCTGCCTTTCGCCCTCTACCCTTACCACTTCCACCACCACTGTTTTTCTATAATCGTCCCACCATAATTACATCGTCTTCCCTCCACCACCACCACTACCAAAACATTTTTATTGTCTCCCTCCACAACCACCACTACTACATTGTTATTGTCTTACCTCCTTCACTACCACCACATTTCTTTTGTCTTTCGCCCTTCACCATTACCACTTCCACCACCACAATTACAGGGGATTTGACATTCTGTTGCTCTTGCTAAATCTTCTTTTGCACACGTAATGAAACCAAGTCAAGGTTTTTTCAAGTAGTTTGTCTGAGTTGCCTCACATTCCCGTAAAACAAAACTGGCAAATGTTCTTCTCTTGCACGTCTTGCGTGAAAGTCATTTTATAAAGTTTTTCTACGTAATGCCTCTGGCTAGTTCGGAAAGAAATTTTTCAGATTTTAATTTATTACTTACGAGGGTTATCATTTTTTTAGTTAAATGCCTGAGCTGTTATACCTGTACAAGTGAGGATTCCTTGGAAAATTGTAATTTGAAGTCAACAAAAAAAGATTGCCCATTGGGAACACCGAATTGTGTCACTGGCACGTTAATATGTTCTGCAGGGGAAGTCACGAAAACTGTCTTCTACAAGAGATGTGGAACCAAAGGCGAGGACTGCGACCCGTCAGATTATCCCTCCTGTCCTTCGTCACAGGGAGGATGGTCGTTCGGCACTTTAAACCGATGCTGCACTGGTGACAACTGTAACTCTGGCCCACGTAATACGATCAACGGCGCACTTACAGGAATGTCTATTTTGCTGGCCTTCTTGGGGTTCTCCTACTTTTAAACACTTCATATCGTAATTAACCTTTCATAGGCTTTTTTTAGTTACTAAACTTCGAAAACCAACGATATATGTAACAAAATCAAGAAAAGCTATTTAGTTTAGCCGCCGGGATTAAGCAGCTAAAAATAAATAACACCCACCGGCAGAGGTTCCTATTTTTCTCAACATGCTAGATGACAGAACACTGACAGAAGTTAGAGCTAGTACATTAAAAGTATGAATGCAACTATTATACTTTAACAAATTCTACTGCTTACATAGTCAACAACGGCAATAAAAAGCGATTTTGACTTCATTGATGTGTTATAACTTTAGTCCTGTTGATCATCTTAAGTTAAATGCAATGAACTGCATTTACGTTGGGGTTTTTAACCCTTCTGAAGCCCCGAGATCCACATATAACAAATTCTCCAGACTGATCTCCATACATTTCTTTTAAGAACAGTTGAGAGAATTTGGTTTAAAATCAAAGTATTCTCCCTTTGGTAATCAATTTAGTAATTCTCAGAACTTTTACTGTTGATGATCTGCTGATGTTGTTAGGAGAAAATTGATGTTGGTCACTCTTGGGACCTAGAGGGTTAAAGGCCCTGTTAGGGTAAAATTGCGACAAGGGACATGGCCTTGAAACAGCGACATAAGACTCGATGAAATGGCGACAAACGACATAAACATGGGTTAAATAGCAACAGGGGCATGGCCTAGTCCAACCTCGTCCCCAGGGCGTTTTCCCCTCGCTTCAAAGCCAAGGAAAAGCGCCCTGGGGACGAGGTTGGGCCTACTCCTCAAAACGCCCGAAACGACCATATCT